ATGACGAAATGCCACAGTCGCCATAATGAGTCATGCGATACCTAGGACACTTGTGTGGTGTTTTCCTTGCTTGCCGTGTGAAACATTCATAATGAATGGCACATCCTCTGTATTCGCCAATCGTGACATTAAACACAACTGTCCTCAGGCGTGTAGTTATGACAACTATATACCACAATAACCACAATGTTGCTTCCAATTCGATGCCAGATTTCTTGCAACATTTATAAAAAATATAACAATTTTCTACTGTCATTGAAAGAAACAAAAAAAACAGTATTTGACAACACACGCACACACACACACACACACACACACTATACTTTGCGCAATAGCACACTTCAACAAGTATTCCACATTATGAGCATGAAAGCCAAAGAGTCATCACGTCAAACCGAAAGCAGAATTGGAACTCCAATCACCAGGATGACAGTACAACAACGAGTCGTCTGTCATCGTCTGTCGTCCCTGAGGCTCTCGTTATCTCTCACCTCTGAAAAAAAAAAAAAAAAAAAATAAACTGAAGTTGTCGATATCTATCATCGTCTGTCGTCGCTTGGGCCCTCGACATTTATGCGTGGGGTCCAACAGTCTCATTGCATGAAAGAAAGAATCGCAAAAAAAGAGAGAGAGAGAGAGAGAGAGAGAGAGAGAGAGAGAGAGAGAGAGAGATTAAGTTTGTACACCGTTGTGGAGCACTCCAACACTTCAAATACCTCACAAACTCTGTCTATGAATAGCAAAATTAGTCAAACAAGAAGAATGCCTGTGCAACGCACAATTGCATTTAACGCTGTCCACCACCAATGTCTGTATCCTCGCTGTCCATCATGGTCTCTGAAGCGCAGCCAAGCCATGTGTGAGCACGAAGTATATCCTCTCCTGTTGATAGTGCTGGGTGCAACGTAGCACCAGAACCGCTGGCTATAGCCCCGTGCAGGAGGCAACTAAGGTCCAGGCCCCAAGTGAGCGAGGTTGCGAGGACAGCCTCTTTGTTGACCAAGACAAACCAATTCTTCCCCATACGTGACCATTTTTTTCCATTCGAGCAAATCTCATAATGGTCGTCAGTGCTGCATACTGGAGTGCGCCGTAAGGTGTTGCCTCCTTCAGCACGACACGCAACAGTAAATGGGGATTACGAAAAACACGTGCCAACCTGCGAATCGCATGTGCCCACCCTTTAGATGCTTGCCCTCCTCCTGCTTCAATATCCCAGTACGCATCATACTCCTCACCCTCCTCGTCGCTGCTCACATCGCTGCCACTCACTTCCACCTCATATGTTGGCGGCTTTGCATCTTTTTCATTGTTCCTCACTGTTGTTTCTTCAATGTCATAGTCAAAATTGATTGGTAAAGAAGAGTCTTCGAACCCTCGTCGCCGTTGTTGTTCTATCATTGTCCTCTCATTGAACACATCTTCTTCTTCAACCTCCTCCCTGGACACGGTGATGATGCTCCCACGCACGAAAGAGACTGTTCTGTCAATTTCTTCCCCTGATGAAGTGTGTCCATCTGCAGCTTGAAGTGCAACATCTGCTTCCCTGGCGATCAACTTCCATCCTTCCTCCCTTGACCTCTTTCTGTCCACGTCAGAAGTCGCGATGGTGAGGCGATGCAAAGCTTCCATGAATATTCCATCCCATAATGGAGTTCCATATATGACATCCTCTTCCACAGTCCGCACCTTGTAGTTAACGAGGTCCTTGCCCGCCAGTGCTTGCTCTGTCACATCATGCAATGCCTTATGTATGACATTCCGATCCTGAGGACTCTTTTGCATGAAATCCACCAGCTGGTCGAGTAAAACATACTCCACTCCGTTTGCAATAATGACTGGAAGATCTTAGAAGTTTTGCGGGGGAGTTTGCGGTATGTCCTTCAAACGCGACAGCAACAGAATTTCTGCTGCACCGCTCTTCAGCTCGTCGTTAGAATCTTCAACAAACATTCCCCATTTCCTCACCTGTTTCATGAGCATCTTCTTGAAATCATCTGCTGTGTATGTTCCGCCCTGTTGTTGCTTTGTCATATCCACGTCCCCTTCAGCAGACATCCCTTTTGTGCACATCCAACCAACCACTTTTCTCAAGCTGTATGCACCGGTATCAGCACTGTCGTCTACACGCAAATCACGCGCCTCTGTGAACCGTGCCAATAGCATCCGTGCTCTGAGCGACTCCTCTCCGTTCGCAGCGATGCTTGCACGAACATTCACTCTGACTTCGAAGTAGCTGGGCACTCTCTCCGTTAGTAGTTCAAGCTCCCCGTCGTCATCGTAGTGGATGCCTTCCTCAGCGTATTGCATTACCTCTTTAAGAGATGTCATCGCATGCGCCGCTGACATCGACATGATGGTTGTGCTTTTGTGTATGTGTCTGTAAGTGGAATGGCAAAACGATGATTTCAATCTCCGTGCGGGTTTGTTTAATGTTGTTTGTGTGTCCCTCTGCAGGAAGTATGCGGTCGTGAGACGCTGCCAGTCAGTACACGGACATCATAACAGGGTTGACTACCGGGTGCCATTTTTTCTTGGAATCAATGACATTAAAACGAATCCGGCACGCAGTATTCAACTCCTCTCTCCCTGCTCTCACTCTCCACCCAAACCGCTCCCCATTGGTTTGGCAACCGTAGGGGGTGTTCTGCGGCCCACTGACAAGTTCCCCCCAAGCACCCCGCCCCCCCCTTTTCATACGTGTGAAGCATTGTACGTATCACAGGGCCACGAACCATTCATTCATAAAGCCATGGAGGGCAGAGTACAACTTACCTAAGACGGAATAGTCCTCCGCCAAGTGTGTGTGTGTGTATGTGTGTGTGTGTGTGTGTGTGTGTGTGTATGTGTGTGTATGTGTGTGTGTGTCTGTATGTGCCTGTGTGTGTGTCTATATGTGCCTGTGTGTGTGTGTGTGTGTGTGTGTGTGTGTGTGTGTATGTGTGTGTGTCTGTATCTATGTCTGTCTCTCTATCTTTCGTGTGTGTGTGTCTGTATCTGTGTCTGTATCTGTGTGTGTGTATGTCTGTGTATGTCCGTGTATGTCTGTGTATGTCTGTGTATGTGCGTGTATGTCTGTGTATGTCTGTGTATGTCTGTGTATGCATGTCTGTGTATGTGTGTGTATGTTTGTGTATGTCCGTGTATGTCTGGGTATATCCGTCTATGTCTGTGTATATCCGTCTATGTCTTGGTATCCGTCTGTGTCTGTGTCTATGTCTTAAGGTGTCTACGTATGTCTGTGTCCATGTCTGTCTGTGTTTGTCTCTGTGCCTGTCTGTGTCTCCGTATGTCTGTGTCTGTGTCTCTCTGTCTGTCTGTGTATTCGTATGTATGTGTCCGTGTCTGTCGGTGTCTGTGTCTGTCTCTCTGTCTGCTTGTGTCTCTGTATGTCTGTGTCCGTGTCTGTGTCTGTGTCAGTGTCTTTGTCTGTCTGTGTCCGTGTCTCCGTATGTCTGTGCCCGTATCTGTCTGTGTCTGTTTGTGTATGTCTGTGTACCATTTGTGTGTGTATGTCTGTGTATGTCTGTGTGTGTATGTCTGTGTATGTCTGTGTATGTCTGTGTATGTTTGTGTATGTCTGTGTATGTCTGTTTATGTCTGTGTGTCTGTGTATGTCTGTGTATGTCTGTGTATGTGTATGTCTGTGTGTGTATGTCTGTGTATGTCTCTGTGTGTATGTCTGTGTGTGTATGTGTGTGTATGTCTATGTGTCTCTGTGTATGTCTGCGTATGTCTGCGTATGTATGTCTCTGTGTGTATGTCTGTGTATGTCTGCGTATGTCTGTGTATGTCTGTGTATATGTGTGTATATGTGTGTATGTTTGTGTATGTCCATGTATGTCTGTGTATATCCGTCGATGTCTATGTATATCCGTCTATGTCTGTGTATCCGTCTGTGTCTGTGAATGTGTCTATAGGTGTCTCTGTATGTCTGTGTCCGTGTCTGTGTATGTCTGTGTATGTCTGTGTGTGTATCCGTCTGTGTCTGTGTCTGTGTCACCATCTGTCTCCGTATGTCTGTGTCCGTGTCTGTCTCCGTTTTTGTCTCTGTGTCTGTCTGTGTCTCCGTATGTCTGTGTCCGTGTCTGTCTGTGTCTGTGTCTGTCTGTGTCTATGTCTGTCTGTGTGTCCGTATGTCTGTGTGTCCGCGTCTGTCGGTGTATCCGTGTGCGTCTCTGTCCGCATACGAGGGTTGGCTACTGGGTGCCATAATTTCTTCGATTCAATGACATCGAAACGAATCCGGCATGCAGTAGTCAACTTGGACATGTCCGTGTGTGTGTGTGTGTGTGTGTGTCTGTTTGTGTGTTCGTGTCTTTGTCTGTGTCCCTCTCTGTGTCTGTGTGTGTCTGTGTCCATGTCTGTCCGTCTCTGTGTGTCTGTGTCTCCGTGTATGTATCTGTTCCTGTCTGCGTACGTCTGTGTCCTGGGAGTGCATGTCTGTGTATATCCGTGTATGTGTATGTCCGTTTGTCCGTGTGTCCGCCTGTGTCAAACGGACACACGGACATACGGACATACACATACACGGACATACATGGACATACACACACGTAAACTGATATACACAGACATACGCAGAGAGGGGGACACGGACACACAGACACAGTCAGACATGCAGGAAAGACACACACAGACGCACACAGACACAGACACGGACACAGTCAGGAAGTGTGTTTGTGTATGTCTGTGTGCCTCGACATGCCCGTGTGTCACATTAAGTCACGGAATGTCACAAAGACGGGAAGCATGATAGTCACTTCCCTTCACCACCGCAAACGTCAAGAGTATGCATGTTGTAGTCATAAAACGAAAACAAACAGAGGGAGAGCATGACATGGGATATAGGACGAAGAAAGTGCACATGTTGTAGGGAGAAGAAAACAAACAGAGGGAGAGCAGGCTTGAGTTTCAAGGTACACAGGCAACCATACCTTTGTCGACGAATGCAACGGCGTACACTGTAGATTGAATGCTTCAGAAGATGCAGATTTTGGTTTGATAATTCTGCTTCGGTGGTTCAACCGTGCAGCGCATATGACAACACAAATAGACACAGGATTAGTGAACAATGTGTCATACACACGCCCACATACTAAACGACAGACACTTACTCTTGGTCATTGATGTGTTATGCACATAATTGTCAGCTGCAATTTGCCAGCCCTCACTCACACATAGTCTGTTTATGTGTATGTCAGTGTATGTCACCATGCATTGTCACACATGTCGCAGTATCGCATTGTACACAATGACATCACCACCATCACARTGCACAAAACGAGAAGATGTCTGTGAACAAGTCCTCTCCATATATTGTCTCTGCTGTGTACCTCACAATTGCAGAAGTATTCACATCATTAGACGCAAGTGTGTTCACAGCACGCATCGTCATCCCCCTGAATGAGCACAAGTTTTCACACCATACACAAGGATAAAGAAGAAGAGAACACAGTTGTGGCCTGCTATATATTTCCAAATCATGATAACAAAGAGTGTTCAAGTCCTCTAACCTCAAGCGCTTAGCAGCGCAGCACAAACTCCCGTCGAACTCACCGAAGTGGCGACTCCACATCAACGCCACCTCAACAGCATACACACAAGCGGTGAACAGAGCATACAATATCAGCCAGCACCTGATAAATAAATCAGACACCAGCGCTACAAAAATAAGAGAGAGACAGACCAGCGGGACGACGAAACAGTCAAACACTGAGGACGCAGAAGAAGCACAACACCAACAGTCTCTAACGTCGATGAAGCTCACACGATAAACTCTCTGAGAACAAGCAGCTATGGCTGCACCTCGCCAACTCCACCCTAAACTTGACGAAGGTCTGAGGCTTACCGCATGGTCTCCACTATTAGTCATGTGATAGGCCAGACCGCTGCTAGCCCTAGACTCATGCAGCACACACGAGGACTGCCATTACTCAGCTCATGCAGCACACCGCACACAGCAGGTGACACACAGCACACACATCACACACCACACAACTCACAGCACACAACACACAACACAGAACACACAACACACAGCAGCTCATGCAACACACAGCACACACCACGCAGCAGCTCGTGCAGCACACAACACACACCGCACAGCACACAGCAGCTCAAATACCACACAGCACACGGCTCACAGCAGCTCATGCAACACACAACACAATAGCGGTTGTGTGCCGGGCCCAGACTCGTGCAACAAACGTCGTGCACAGGAACTCACACCACGAAGTATGAATTGGGCAGAAAGATCCCCCAGCATGCATCTACANACCGCAAACGTCAAGAGTATGCATGTTGTAGTCATAAAACGAAAACAAACAGAGGGAGAGCATGACATGGGATATAGGACGAAGAAAGTGCACATGTTGTAGGGAGAAGAAAACAAACAGAGGGAGAGCAGGCTTGAGTTTCAAGGTACACAGGCAACCATACCTTTGTCGACGAATGCAACGGCGTACACTGTAGATTGAATGCTTCAGAAGATGCAGATTTTGGTTTGATAATTCTGCTTCGGTGGTTCAACCGTGCAGCGCATATGACAACACAAATAGACACAGGATTAGTGAACAATGTGTCATACACACGCCCACATACTAAACGACAGACACTTACTCTTGGTCATTGATGTGTTATGCACATAATTGTCAGCTGCAATTTGCCAGCCCTCACTCACACATAGTCTGTTTATGTGTATGTCAGTGTATGTCACCATGCATTGTCACACATGTCGCAGTATCGCATTGTACACAATGACATCACCACCATCACARTGCACAAAACGAGAAGATGTCTGTGAACAAGTCCTCTCCATATATTGTCTCTGCTGTGTACCTCACAATTGCAGAAGTATTCACATCATTAGACGCAAGTGTGTTCACAGCACGCATCGTCATCCCCCTGAATGAGCACAAGTTTTCACACCATACACAAGGATAAAGAAGAAGAGAACACAGTTGTGGCCTGCTATATATTTCCAAATCATGATAACAAAGAGTGTTCAAGTCCTCTAACCTCAAGCGCTTAGCAGCGCAGCACAAACTCCCGTCGAACTCACCGAAGTGGCGACTCCACATCAACGCCACCTCAACAGCATACACACAAGCGGTGAACAGAGCATACAATATCAGCCAGCACCTGATAAATAAATCAGACACCAGCGCTACAAAAATAAGAGAGAGACAGACCAGCGGGACGACGAAACAGTCAAACACTGAGGACGCAGAAGAAGCACAACACCAACAGTCTCTAACGTCGATGAAGCTCACACGATAAACTCTCTGAGAACAAGCAGCTATGGCTGCACCTCGCCAACTCCACCCTAAACTTGACGAAGGTCTGAGGCTTACCGCATGGTCTCCACTATTAGTCATGTGATAGGCCAGACCGCTGCTAGCCCTAGACTCATGCAGCACACACGAGGACTGCCATTACTCAGCTCATGCAGCACACCGCACACAGCAGGTGACACACAGCACACACATCACACACCACACAACTCACAGCACACAACACACAACACAGAACACACAACACACAGCAGCTCATGCAACACACAGCACACACCACGCAGCAGCTCGTGCAGCACACAACACACACCGCACAGCACACAGCAGCTCAAATACCACACAGCACACGGCTCACAGCAGCTCATGCAGCACATAACAGCTCTTGCAGGATCGCCAGTACGCAGCTCATGCAGCACACAACACAATAGCGGTTGTGTGCCGGGCCCAGACTCGTGCAACAAACGTCGTGCACAGGAACTCACACCACGAAGTATGAATTGGGCAGAAAGATCCCCCAGCATGCATCTACACTTTACATACGYCTGCCYTAGTCTGCGCTACCACCTATACCAAYGGCACCGACTCAACTTGCCCAGTTTTGGCCTGGACCTTACCCGGCTACGGGCTCATCCCACAGAATAGCGGTTGACACCGCTGGCTTTCCGAATAGCCCGGGGCTGTCAATTGGACAGTGAGGTCGTATGCACAAGAGCGGTTGGTACTGGCCCAGCAATATTCAGAATTGCATATGGGGCGTGCGGTCAGTCCCAACAAACTTAGTCAACGGTCAGACCCACACACAAACAAAACAACGAATCTGCACTACTACACTACAGCCCCTGTGCCCCGCCGCAGGCCGCAGATAACAGCAAGTCAATGCAAGTCACGTGGCGCGGTCTCACTGCAGTCTTCACAGTGTTCTTATCTCGTGCTTTTCTTTGCTGCATTGCCTTTACGCGGGGCTCCTTTCCTCTTCGATGACGCCGCTGGAGTGTCACCGCCTTTGCGTGCTGCTGCTGTCTTCCCTGACAACCCCTTCCCCGCCCGCGCATCTCTCTCCTCTTGCCTTGTAGCATTCATCTGTCGTAGCTTTTCTGCTCTCTTATGCTTGTCGGTAATGCCTTGGTATCTGTATTCCCAGCGAGCCTTGGACAAGTTATCAACCAGCCTCAGGTCCTTCAGCTGGATTGCCACCCTCTTGCAGTGGATAACAATGATGTTCGTTCTCTCGAAATGGTTGATGAGATATGCTTCCGCCGCTTCCATCAACGCACGTATGGCACTCATCTGAAACCTCATAGACTCCCCCGGTGCGATATGTGTTTCGACGATCTCGCCCACTACCCTCATAAACGGCCTCAAAGCGATGCACAAGTTAGTAGATCGTTGGAGTTGCCGAATCTCTGCCAATGCTGCCATCCCCGGGCGGCGTCTGCGCTTAGGAGCTGGGGCAGCGGCTGCTTTGGGAGTCTCGCCTCTACGTGGGACAACTTTTTATTTGCCTTTTGCTTTTGTGGGACTCCTGGGATGACGAGGCGGCCTGGACGTGCACTGCTTCTTCTTCTTCTCTGCCCTCCCTGTCACGTGCTCTACAGGGGTGTCACCATCGTCGGGCTGTGCGTGAGAACATCCCCCATCATGTGCCGTTTCCGGGGCGTCGACCTCAGAGGAGAAATGTGAAATGTCCTGCTGCTGCTGTGCTGTTTGTTGAGGGTTGATTGCAGCACGACCGTCGTCATCACCCGCGTACTGAATGTGTCGTAGCAGTCCATCCATGAACGTGAGCTGGAAAGGGACACCCAGAGGGTCTCTCAATCTCATGCACATTTGTTCCCCATGCTCATATGTCATAGGATAGACGACAGGGATCCACCCAAGTAGTGATGTGCACCCGTATCTGCGTCGAATGCCCTCCAGCAACAAGTTATTCATCGAGGGCCGTGGTTGGTCGGTGCACGCGTCTTCCATAATGAACCACATCGCCCGGTCATTGTGGTCGTCATATCCCATGCACACCATCTGTCGATCTTCCTCCCTTATCTTCTCCCAACAACGTTGAGCGTGTTCCTCCAACAATCGCCGGTCCCTCACATGAGGATTGCAAACGGAAACACGTGTCACCACCACCAAGAACTGCCAATGCTCCACAACGCCAGCATGCATCCAACCCAAAGGCAACCACTCACCGGATTGCATCCTTGCTGCCAGTGTCACTTTGCCATCAACAACTGCTGGATGCAAAGAACCAGGTACCGAGTTGACATGGTACCCGTACATGTCACGGGCCACATGCTGGTACAACTGCCATTCTTGAATCACATGCGCCGCAATGTTACTGGCTGCGACGACATCCTTCCGCATTGCTGTATGGTCCCATACGTCCATACAGATGCCGTCAAATGTGGCTTCTTTCCCCATAACGTGGACGTATGTGATGCGCTTCTCACCAGTAAACACCTTCCCTTCAGCGAGGGCCAACTCGACAGGATTGTCGAGTGGCGGGTCAGAAATGCGTGCATCGCGTGGCCTGCATCTCATCGCTTCCTTTTCCTCTGCAGTTGCTTCTTTATCGAAATGACGGAACGAAAACATGCCATTCACGTAATGCGCGCTCCACACAGTGCCCATGATATCACGCACTTGCATCTTGACACGACCATATCCAAATGGGACTGCAGATGGCACCCAACCCCATCGAGGATCCCTCCTTGCATCATCCTGGGCGACTTGCGTTCTTCTCCTGCCTTGCTGGCCACCCAACTCCCACAGCCGACCGCAGTCAACGTTGTCATATAGGAAATCATTAAGGCGCAACTCACTCTTTGCCTCTAGAACACGATACATGTCCAATGCGTGTCGGTAAGCACCTTGGGTCGTTGCCCCGTCATTTAACCTCAACACTCTGTCATTGATAAATGACAGACATACGTTACGCTATGTTTCATTCATTGGGGGAGGAAAAGCAACCCACTCATCACCAACCTTGAAAGCAAAGCAATCCACACCTCCAACGATATCAGGCTGAACACGACCAGGCACCCAGTTCACATCGTACGGGTATCTATCTCTTGCCATTGTCTTTGTCACATTTGCATCTTTGACAATGCATCCACTGTGAGGACCCTTGCTGCCAACATCTTCGTCCTCTCTCTCTCCACCCACCTTCTCTGTGTGACCACTGTTCCCTCGTGCACCGCTTTCATTGTCATCCACATTAACCAGCATCTGCTCAGTTTCTATTTGAATAGTGGCCAACACGTCATCACACGCTACAATGGTGCCCCCGTCGCTGGTGTGTTGATGAACTGTCGTTCCGTTGTCCTCGCATGAAGGGGAACGACCACTTGGAATGGCTGCTGTTTCCATGACGTCGATCTCTCCGTCATTGACGGCTGTTGCAATGGCGGGTTTCATCTACATATTAATAAAGCACGTGAGGTTGTGAGTCACAACATTGAGAAAAAATTTCCACACGAGAGAGAGAGAGAGAGAGAGAGAGAGAGAGGGAAAAAAAAAAAAAAAGTAAAAAAGAGAAAGAGAGAGAGAGGTTGACTACCGCGGGTCATATAATGTTATTCATTACCGTTTGAAAGAAATGTGGCACGCGGCAGTCAACCAGGTCATTCACGGGCCACGACGATGAAAAAATGTTTCCACACGCAA